ATAGCAGATGACGGTTTTGAACTACTAATTTTTCAGTTAGCATCATGAAAGATTGTGCACTACAGGACCAATATGAAATCACATTTTTTAAGTATTTCTTATTCCCAATACCATACTGGCAATGTAAATTATTACCACTTAACCACTGAGTAAGTTTAGAAATGATTTATATATTTATTTTAGAAAATCTTTTACATGTCCTTATTTTATCTAGGATTTTGCAGAATTAAAAATGTTTGCTCTAGTATTTTTAGCTCAAACGTCTTAATGCTGATTTCAGCAAATTGGAGCCATTTCCCATAGTATATTTGCTTAGCCTCGTAGATGGTAAGGAAATATTTTTATATTTTCCAGATGTTAATTAACTTCCCAGATACATATACATAGCAATAATGACTGAGTGCAGAGACATTTTCAATATTTAGATGGTGAATGAAATCTATTTTAGTGAACCAGAGTCTGTGGAATTGACCAGAATTTTATTTCAAAGGAAATCTTCTTGATTTCCTCCTTTGCTATACTTGTCTTGATCCATAAATTGTAAATAGGCAATTTCTTCTCAACATGTAAGAAATCAGACTTTGCATTTCTATTAGAATTAAGAAACTGGAGATAAAGAACAGATAAAGAAAGCAGAGAGCATTAAGGAAATAGGAGATTCTCTCAAAATGCTGATTGCACTGGAAATCAAGTTCTCAGATCTCAAAATAGAAAGCAATGTCTTCCTCAGGTCCTACTTTTAGAAGAAACAAAAGGATATAAGTGAAGTGCAAGAATTTCATTAAAAACAAAAAAGAGAAAGAAAAAAAGGATCAAGAGAGAAAGGAAAGGAAGAGGCCAGGAAGCCAGGAGAGGGAACACTGGGGACCTGCTTCTGTAAGGTCACAGCCAGCCTGAACCCCTATTCTCTAGATGAGCCCTCATGAGATGGAATCAGCGACAACTTACAACTACAGTCCCTCCAAGGGAAACACTGCCAGTGTCACCATGGCTTTTGTTGCTACGTGTCACAGAATTGGTTTCCTTTGTACAGTAGAATAAAATAGTGCTGCTCCTGCATCATCCTCACAATCATTACTAGAGTTGAACCCCATCATTGTGTTAACCTGTCTTCTTGTGTTAACCTGTCTTATTGTGTTAACCCACTTTGTTGAGAGTAGTGTGGAGTCAGTTCCTTTTCCACAAGCATACTTCCATGAAGTGAGTGATACTGAAACTCACTCAGTTCCATCTCTCCGGCATGCCAAAAGTCTCCTCCATCAGAGAAAAAACAATGAAGCAGGAAAGCAAACGAGTTTCCAAAAGTTTCCTTTTTGTAAGTGGGACTAAGACAAATAGAGTTGGTTCTTCATTTACTAGAAATTATAATAATTTCGATTATCTCATGCCTCCAAGCATTCTATCCAGGATTGGGCTCCTTTAATTTAAAAATGCAAGTTCTCTCACAGTGGGACAAAAATAATGGTCTATAGTACAATTTTAACATTTGTATCTGTTTATTTTTCTTTGAGTGAACATTTCTATTCATCATTAGCGCTAAAGAAAACTAACATTCATGGAACTAAAAGGAAACAAAAAGACAATCACAACTTCATTGACGACCGAATCAGTGCTTGGTAATTTTTATGGATGTGAGTACTGGAGGATTAAACCAGCAAAAGGGAGCATAAAAGAGGAAGGGAGCATAGCAGGCATTGGTCTGAGATGGCACATTTTAATAATAATTAATCATGGTACTTAACACTTGCAAAGAGCTGCAAAATGCTCCAGACATGAATTGATTCATCACTCCCAGCCTCTAAAATATTCTGTAAATATCACCTAATTAAACCTAGTTTCTGTCTTTTCAGGTGCCAGCAAGGACCTTTTTTTTTTAACTCTTAGCTATTCCCTCAATAAATTGACCCTCCAATACTTAACAGTCAGTGAATAATTGAAGAATAGTCATGTGCAACCTGAAACTTTACTTTCATTCTCTACTTCCTCATCCTTTCCTCACCAAAATAGAACCATTAAAAAAAAAAATAAAAATCCAAAGTTCATAAAGGCCTATGGTCAAGACCATTTTTGCGATTTTTTCCCTATAACCCTGATAGACTAGATTTGGCACTAAAATAAATTGTTTACTAGTTTACCTAAATGCTATTCTATATAAAAATTAGTTGTGGGAATAATCTAGGCTATAGCAGAACAAGGAACGAGTTACAGAGTAGCTTCTCAAGAAATGGCAACATGCCACAGCAATGGCCGGGCAGGGTGGTCATGGGTAGCAACATGGAGTAGCACAAGGACTTTACATGACAAAGCATGTTGAACAGTAAGGTCGTTAACTGTTGTTTGTATGATTTAACAACTGATACACAGTGGGAAAAATAAATCCCAAGAAGGCAGGAGCGCTGGTGAAATTTCATACAGGCATCATCTCTTTTCCACTTCTAACCGTTGGCACTTGGAAAGGATAATAGTATGGAGAGACACATTTTTGGCTTATAAAATATAAATTTGAATATACAAATATACATTATGAAGTATGATAGTATACAAATTGATGTAAAAATATGCTTTGCTTTCCCTGCTTAATGACTTTAAACAGCACAAATTTTTTGTGTTGTTGGATATTGAAGCATCAACCTTTTGGCTCTGTCTCAACGGTGCTTTCACAGTACATGTTATTACAGTGTTGAAGTTGATATCTTACAGCTCAGATAGCCTTATGAAATATTTAGAATAAATATTTAGAGATAACTAAACATATAAATCATTTTACCAACATGTTTAGTTGCATTATTTAGACTAGTAGGTCAAGATTCATTAATTGGTCCATTTTTAATGAAGTGTTTGAGATAGTCAAGTAATCCTAATGGGGAGGATATTCATAGTATCTTCATTGTTAATTAGGTCCTTGAAGTGAGGCATTAGCTGTATAAAGTACTGTAGGAAGGTGGTATGTCAGGAAGAGACACCTTTCCTTCTGTCAGGCTCATCTGTAACTATGGTAAGATACTTGTACCAGATACAATTACTTGAGTCAGTGTTTGACAATCAAGCACTATTTAAAGTGGTAGAACTGTTCAAGTTCAAGAAGAGGCTATGGAGTCAAAAACCTTGCCTCCTCTAGCCACCTCCCAAGGATTGTGGAAGTTACTCACAGTTCAAGAATTCTGGGCAGCCGTCTTAAAGGATCATTTCCCCTTTCTTAGGTCACAGCTATTATGTCACTGGCCTTCATTTTAATTCCAGTTAAATTATAAAGTGCAGTATGTAGTGTTGAACCTTCAGAAAGAATGAACACAACCACCCTTCAGAGAGTCTAAGCTCAAATCATTGGCAAAGATCAGGATTCTTATCTGAAAGTGTACAGGAACTTGATCGTTGTCCTTTTCATTGTCCTCAATATCACTATCATTATCGTCAGCATTGACATTAGCATCATCAGCATCACATTTGTGTTATTATCACGTCAAATGATGTGGCAAAATTAAAAGAGAAACTGAAAAAAAAAATCAAGACACCGTCCAGTTTGGGTGCGTAAATATTATCCTGTGTTTCTTGGCCCATTTTGCAAATACTTTCTTTTCAGTGATAAATCTATGCCCCCCATACGGGGCATGTTCGTGAAGAAAATATTCATCACACTCATCTCTTCCTTGTTCATAATAATGGTAGGGGACTTTTCTATACCCTTCCATCCTAGAAAAGAAACAAAAAGAAAAGTCAGAAATGAAGAATGAAGTACTCATTTACAAGAATCCATTACTTGCCTTGTAAACCCACACAGGATTCTTGTCTGTGAACTCTGTTAAAAACTATTAATGTATGAAAGCTTTTTAGGAAGATGTACCAGGCTCTCAGTGCTTTAATAGATCAAGTAAGATTCATATATCACACCAATTACAATCAACATGTGGCTATCTTTGGAGGGTGGAAATGTTATATAACGGAAACAAACTCTGGAGAGCCTGATGGTTTTGCAGATTTTAGGGAAAAAATCGTGTGCCATTTCAGAGGATGACATTTTGTTTATCATATCCGGGTGGCATAGTGATTAAGTGTTGGCCTGCTGATTGAAGAGTCAGTAACTTGAATGCACCAGCTTCTTTGGGGGATAAAGATGAGGCAGTTTGCTTCTATTAAGATCTAATGTCTCATAACACAGAGGGTCACCAAGAGTCAAAATTGACTTGAAGGCAGAGGGTGTGGTCTGTTTGGTTCTGTGTTCCATTATTCTTATAGGTAGGGTAGAGATATTTCATCACTGTTTGAAGATTGTGGTTGAGAGTTAGCATTTTGACATTTTCATAAAAATGCTGCCTGAAATAGATTGTACCAATTGTTGGTAGGAAAATCTATTCCATTATACTGATAAAGAGCAGAGGGCTTGTTTTATTATCTAATTAAAAACTATCCTACCAGGGAGGATATACTTTGGACAAACACACTCTATAAAATAAGGGTTAGACAGGTTGTCTTCTTATTAGTAAAATAGAACTTCCAGAAATTTGGTTTAATCTGTCAGTTTCTATGAGGCTCTGGACATTTTACCCTTTGCAGATGAGTAGATAACCACCTATCAAGGCATTAAATGAGCAGCAGTGACCACACAGCTTTGCAAATGAATAACCACTAAATGTTTCCTGTCTTCCCAATCCAGCAGTCCCTAGTATGCCACTGATTAAGGGAAAAAAAATATTCCTTGTGACATTTGGTATTAGACTGTGGTAAATATTTTTCTTTTTATCACCCCTTAAAGTAACAACTTGATACACTGACAATAATATGTCAGGTTGGGAAAGAACCCAGGGAAATAATTGTTGCTTTATCTGTTTTTCTCCGATTTATGGTGTTAAAATGAATTGTGATATTTTGACACGATCTCAGAATTGGAGATGCATAAAAATAATTTCCTGTGATCTTACTTGCAGTAGGTGTCATTTATCATCCCGTAGACGTGGATGCCATAACAGGCATCCATGGCCAGAATGAAGGTGAACCATCCCGTGCTGAGATAAGAGCCAGACTGGACTCTGTGGGGGGGGAGGAGGAGAAAAACAACAACAACCAACAAACAAAACGAAACAACACAGATAACACAGACAGAGCAACAATAAAACACAGTGAGAAATGAGCACCATTTTATAAAAAAACCCAAACCAAACATAGCACTTGTTATCAGGATAAAAAGCATAAAGAAACTTGACAATCTGTCAAAGACACACATTTATTTTGAATTATCTCTGAACAATTTATAGGAATGTTCTCAGTCTTGCTACCTTAAGCCTTGAAGCGATGTTGTATGGTAGAGAAACCATATGGCAGATATCTGAAGTAAAATAATCCTACTCCCTTCAGGTGAAAATAATTTATTTGATTTTCCATAAGACACAAATTACTCCTGTGTATCAGAGGACAGATTTTTAAAAAGATGCTTGGAGCCTTGATGGGAACGGAATGATAATGGTATTATCTTGCTTACGTGGACATATCATCTTCTCCAAGACTCATTGGATTCCTAGGTATAAATTGGATGCAGCATAGCTGAATTTCTTGGTCTTTCAAAGCAACTGGAAAGTTTTCCTTTACTAATTTTCAGCCATTGTGAAACAAGATTATTTTTTCCTTTGTAAGACTTATGTTACCTTCCTCTTCAACTATTTTTCATGACTATGCACAAATCACTGTTCTAGATACAAGATATACAGTGAAGACCAGAGAATTGGGTTTGAAAGGGGCTTTATTATTTAAGCCAATCAGAGATTCTGACTTTGATAAAGTACGCCAAAACCTAGGAACAAAAAAAAGGAGAGAAGAGTTGAATCACCTGAGGGAAAATAATTCCAGGCAGAGCAGAAAAGACAAGGAAAAATAAAAATTGCAAAAGTGTGATTGGTACATACAAGGGGAGAGCAGTAGATAGAGGAAAGGTGGTGATTTTAACTAGAGCACAGAATAGAAGGCTTTGCCAGGTTCCAGATGCTCATGGAATATCTCAATGAAAAGTTGGATTCCTTAATGTCTTTAGCCAATGCGCCCAATCCATCCAAGCCTCAACAACTGTCTATCTATCTCTTCAAAATTCCCTCTCACTGGAGTATTCTTTATTTGCGGGTTATTTGACAACTATGAGAGGGGGGGGATGCTAAAAAGACTACATTTTCTTCTTTCCATTTTGATTTATTGGATATTAGCACCTAGCCAGCACTTTCCCTACAGTCTCACTTTGAGCCACTGATGCCCATTCTGCATAAGAAAACTTTATCACATTTCTCATAACTGAATCCTTTTCACCCTACTTGATTTATCTTGTGGCAGGAAGACAGACACCTGCTAATTAGCACAAAAGCTCTTTCCAGGGAGCTGTGTTGCATTTAATTCAGACTGGGGAGGCTCATATTGCTCATGTGCCCTGTCCTACAAATAGCACTTAATTAGATAGTTGCATTCTTCCCCCCGACACCTCTCCAATATTTGTGATGAGAAATCACATGAGGTTCCCTATGCACAGTACATGCTGGGGCTACCAGTGTGGTCTCTTTTCCAAACACCCAGAGTTAATGTCCACATTATGATACTTGCAGTGGAATCATTGAAATTGCTAGATTGACCCAGAAATTCTTCTGAATAAATACCCTTGTGATTTGGGTACCCAAGGGAGTCTCACTGACCTGGATAATATAGGCTTAGAGAATTCTTGTAATTACTTTGTTACCATACTCTCCTATGCTGTTGTGTGTGCATTCTGGAAGTGAGGAATTCTAAACTATATCCAAGTAGACCCTTTAAGGCTCAATAAGAACAACAATAATTTGAACTGATGTACGTAAAGTTGTTTATGCTTTTCAGTGGGACGGGACCTAACGGTAACTATTTAATGCCTTTAAACATTTTTTAAAAGGTCTCTTCTGGGTCCATATATGTCTTATAATTTGTCATTCATGCATGCCAGCTGGCCACCAGCCATAGACCTTCTTATACCGTCTATGTTTGAGGATCGATAAAAACAATTATTTTCATCTACAAGTAAACAACCAAGGTTCCCATAAAGATAAGAGAATTTAAGTCCCCAATTCTGTTCAATAAGAAAGCTTGAATTAATGCAGCAGAATAATGAGCCATGCAGGGGGAAAGAAAGGCTGGAGCATTGAAAGGAAGTTATCAATCATTTGTTTCCACTGGCCCGACTGCATCCCACTGCTCCTTGGTAATCAAGATATTTACAACTTGGAAACTACTTAAATTTACTTGCTTATCTTTTGGAAAAATGATGCTGTCAACACCTTGATATAGCACATGCTTGAAGGCACATAATTTAAAATATGATCTTTCATCTCCTTTATTAAGAATAAAATATTAGTTGCCTTGTCCCTTGGTGTTTGCCTCTGTTACTTGATGCCTCAAGGCCATTGCCCAGCCATACGGGTTCCATATCTGTCAGACTATCTTTGATTTTGTTAATATCAATATTTTTGACTGTTGGCATCTTTAATTTGCCTGCATTCCTGCTTCTGATCATACCCTCTGATCACGCCTCATTCCTGGAAACATGTTCTCTAAGAAGCATTTCTCTCCTATGTGTCTGGCAACTTAAAACCTTCCAGGAAGTGGAATTTGTCTCATGTAAAAGTTCAAGGGAAAGAGTTAAGGAATCAAGATGCATATTTTTTAAAAAAACCTTGATTACACGAAATTTATTGTCTACTTGCCAGATTCTCTGTGACTTATTGAACACATTTAGTTCATTCTGAACCCAAGGAGCTTGTATTCTCGGGGCAAAGTATTGCGCTTTCCATAAACCACTTACTCTTGGCAAGACTGACACTTTGGACCTGATAATCCTTTATTGTGAAGGCTATTTTTGTGTATTATAGGATGTTTAGCAGCTTCTTTGGCCTCTACCTGCCAGGGAAACCCTAATTGCAACAAGTCAAAATAACTCCAGACATTTTCAGATTGCCCATAGTGGAAAAATCACTCTTGACACACAATGAGAGCCACTGCTGTAGGAAAACAATCACATGAAGCCAGAGCGTCCATGTAGACCTGCTGCTGTACATATGCTTATATGAATATGCATTATATGAAAGTATATTTATACATATAAATTGCATGATAAAAACTATAAAGTTTAGAAGTTAATCACTCTATTAGAATATAATAGTGCTTCTCAAAATTTAACGTACCTAAGAATAATAGCCTCTGAACCCCAAAACTTAGAGGAGCGTGGTGGGGATGAGGACATAGCATTCTTCTCAAGCAGGTTCAGGAAATGTGTATGGCTCATGTGTGGAACAGTGTAAGGAATAAAAAGATACCCAAAATGAGTCCATTTCCAGTATCAGGGATTTCTAAGAATGGGACAAAGAATTGTGGGGAAGGAGAGGGTCAATAAACTGTATGAAGGGGGATAGAA